GGACGAGGCTGTGACGGCGACACATACAACAGCCCGGCTGACTCCTCAAAGCACCTTGGGGCAGACACAGAGATCAATGTCTCCTCATACTGATCCTCACCTTACCCAGCACCACTGGCGGCCATCTTTTTAACTGAGGGACAAATGAATTGAAGGAACAGTTTGATTTGAGTATGTGATACTCAAACCCAAAGAAATCTTCAGAAGACCGTCAGTCCACTACATTCCTTATTATTGTTCCATTTTTAAAAATTTCAAGTAATGACCTCAAAATGTCCTGAATGCACAGAAAAGACTTACTGGTCTTAAGCTTTTTTTCTGCACAAGATAAAGTTTAGCCTGCCTTATATGGTAACAGCATCCAGCATAGAACACACTTTATATTTCCTTGTACTCAGCTGTTTACATCCCATCCATAAATCTGCTTATATAAAGCGACCCTCAATTCCCAGACATGGCTTTTATGCATGAGGCACAATTTGATGTAGACTTGGGGACAAGCACTCTGAAGACACCCATTTGTGCCCACAGTCTCCTGGTCACCCTTCCTGTGTTGTCCCTGTTGACTGTCAAGGTGTGTTGCCTTGACCGAGGCTTTTCATAATCTTCTGAGACTAAATTTATTCCCAACATAATGGACACACAGTCTCTCTCTCTCTCTCTCTCTCTCTCTCTCTCTCTCTCTCTCTCTCTCTCTCTCTCTCTCTCTCCGGCACCAGGCTGTCAGTCCTCCTTGCCTCTTCCCTCCTCCCCGTAGAAAGTCCTGCCCCATCTCTACTGTGTCAGAAGATCCACTTAGCTCAGCACATGGCAGAATCTGGCTTGGTGTGCATCCATCAGCCCTCAGACCTGCACTCCGGGGGGGATGAGGGGTGGACAAGTGGAAAGCAGTTTCCTGGGTCTTGGGAAAGAGCCATCAGGCAAGAGTTGGAAATAACGTCAAGGCTTTTCTGTCCCTGGCTACTTGAGTCTACGTGTCTTCTGGTCACCTCTCTTGTTGTCACATTATTTTTTATCCAACAATGCTCACTCTGGGTTTTCAGTCCCTCTTACGTTCTGGGGAAAATGTCTTCCCCCAGAATGTAATTCTCCTCCTGTCCTGGTGTCTCCATCTTCCAGAAGCTCCGACTCGTAGCCTTCAAAACATTGCCAAATTTGGACTAGTGATGGAGCTCAGTGGTAGAGCTTCCTGGACAGAACACAGAGAGGCCCTGGGTTCAATTCCCAGCATGAGGAAGGGAGGGAGGGAGAGAGAAAAGGGAGAAAGGAGGGAAAGATTTAAAAACGAATTGTTATGTTACTATGTTGTTCTCCATTGCCTGGCACTAACCTTCCCTAATTAACCAAGTCCCATTGAGAGCCTTTCTCTGGACCAGTGGTTCTCAGCCTTCCTGACGCTGAGACCCCTTAATCCAGTTCCTCATGTCATGGTGACCCCCAACCATAAAACTGTTTTCATTGCTACTTCATAACTGTAATTTTGCTGTTGCTATGAATCATGATATAAATACCTGATTGCAGGATATCTAATATGTGACCCCAGAGGGTGGCACCCCACAGGTTTAGAACTTCTGCTCTGGAGTTTAGAGTGCGCTGGTGCAATCTTCTACACTCTGCTTTATTATGTGTGATGCCAGAAGAGCAGACTGGGGAATCCTGGGAAAACCTTAAATCCACAGCTAATAATACTTCAGAAAAAAGGAAAGCTTGTCAATAAATTTGAGTTAGCACAGCTTTATTAGGACACAGATAAGTTACTTACATTAAAGTACACTCACATAGGCTGGGTTTTTGTTTGTTGTTTAGTCTTTTCAGTGTTTGAGCTTTGACTTTGAAAGACAGAGCTGTTTTTCTGCTTCCAGAGGAATACAGCAGTGAGCTGCTGCCTTAACTGTCATGTGACATTTCAGCTTAGGAACATATGGAGAAGGAATGGAAACTGTAAATTTCAAAATTATAACAGGAAAAGACAGTTCTGAACTCCACTTGACATTAAAAAAATCATTAGTGTTGATTTGATAATCTCCAGTTATTGTTAAGTATTTGCTGTTAGAACTTTGCTAGCTGGAAAAAAATTAGACCACATTTTCTTAAGATTTCATGAGTCGGGGCTGGATAGGTAGCTGAGAGGTTAAGAGCTCTGGCTGCTTTTCCAGAGGTCCTGAGTTCAATTCTCAGCACCCACATGGTGGCTCACAGCCATCTGTAATGAGATCTGGTGCCTCTTCTGGCATGCAGGCGTACATGCAGATAGAACACTATACATAATAAATAAATTGATTAATTATTAAAAAAAAAAGACTGCATGGGTCTCAGGTGGCTAGGGTGACTATAATACATTCTATGGTCTGTGGAAGACACCAGAGTGTGCATAGGAACTGACTGCCCTCTCTGTTCACACATCCTGGATTGTGTATCCATCCAATCATTGGGACCTTCGGCTTTGGTCTCGCTGTGGTAGCAAATATCCAGCAGTTAGCTGCTAATTTTGAAAGTGGCAGAGAGTGAGCAACAAAGCATGAAAGCTGAACAGGACACTGTGGTATGTGAAGGCATAAGTTGTGTATGCATGTCTTAACTCACTTGATCGTCAGGAAACGCCAAATGTAGGTACTGTTGTTCACAGAGGAGGAAACCCGAGGGACGGGAAAACAATAATAACCAGCGAACTATGATAAGCTTAACCCCGAGTCACGTGGTTACCAGCCATAAGACCCAGATCCACTGCCCAGAAGCCCGGGAGTTCTAAATGCCACACGTTAAGTACCAGAACGAGTTCCCACAGCCTCTCCAACCCTCTCGCCTACATGATGGCCAGTGGGTTTTCATGAGAGGAGCCAGGTGACGGGCTAAGGGTCTGAAGGGCCATTAGCAAAGACCAAAAAATCAAAACATAAAATAAATTCCAATGCTGAAGTGACAGGTTTGACATTGCTCGATGAGGCAAGAGGAAAAGGCCTGTCCACACACCCATGAGCACCGCAGGCCTTGGTATTGTACCTTCTATTTCCAATCGGTGAAAAGCTAGGGGCCAGTTTCTATAAACTCTCAAGAATGATGCCCTGGCTGTAAAGGTGATGAGGCCAGGAACCAGAGAAGGATGGACTCAGCACCAGGGTACCACAGTCCTGCTTGGCAGCTTAACTGGCCAAACTTGGTCTCAGCTCTTCAGTGCTACTAAAGAATGGAGTGGATGGATGAACAGGCAGAACAACCACCCAACAGAGAGCCCTTCACCATATCCTCCCAAGCCCCCACTGCCTGGGGCAAGCAAGGAGTTCCATCCCGGGCAGGGGTGGGAGGCTGGGGGGAGTGTGGGGGTGGGGGG